ACAAATAACCCAGGAGCAACTTGCTGAGCAGTTCCACACACACCTGAGCAAGTTCAAGAAGCATTCATTCAATATTAGGCAACAGTATGCCTACTATCGTGAGCTGAGAAAGAGCATGGCCACTGATGAATGTCTAATTCACATTGATTTTTTTCGGAGAACTTCACCTGCAAGTACAGTTCTGAAATACAAGCAGTGCACTTTGGATCATCTCATCAACAGGCGACACTACATACAGGGATTCTTTGTGAAGGCGGTACGCAAGAACCGACCTGCTTCAGCACAATATCTCCATCAAAGCACAAAAGCCCAGCAGCTATTTGGGAGCATCTGAACCCTGTATTGGATTATGTGCAGGCAACACACCCAGAGGTTTCTGTGATACACTTTTTTAGTGATGGGCCTTGTACCCAGTACAAGCAGAAGGACAATTTTTTCCTTTTTAGCACTGAGCTGGCAAAAAGAGGCATTAAGGCAGGGACATGGAATTTTTTTGAAGCCAGCCATGGCAAAGGAGCCCCTGATGGTGTGGGAGCAGCCTTGAAGAGAACTGCTGACAGGCTAATAAGCCATGGCCGGGACATCCAAGGTGCACATGAGCTCTTCGAGGCCCTTTTGGAGACCAACACATCGATCAAGTTGTACTTTGTCAATGGTGATACTATTGAGCAGGCACTTGAAAGGATGCCATCAAACCTACCAGCAGTCCCAGCTACCATGAGGATCCATCAAGTGGTAACTCTTGCTCCAGGAGAGATACTGTCTCGTGATGTCAGCTGTATGTGCTCGACCCGGAAGCAGTTACAATGCGAGTGTTGGAACATAAATCATTTCAGATTTTTTAAGAAGGTGCCAGATGCTGTGTCACAAATGCAGACACAAATCCATTGGGAAGACCCAGAGGTGCTAGGGCAGTGGTGTGTGCTGACATATGATGAAGATTTGTTCCCAGGAATAATACTTGCGGTGGATGAAACACGTGTGCAAGTAAAATGCATGCACCGTGTCGGGCCAAACAGGTTCTTTTGGCCTGCTCGCGAGGATGTGCTTTGGTATGTTTTTGATGATGTGCTTGAGCTCATCCCACCTCCTAACCCAGTGACATCACGGCACATGGAAATTCAAAAAGATGTTTGGGCCAGGGTTTCTAAATAAAGAATGAATGGACATCTTACAGTCCTGTTTTCAAAGTTCAGTGTTAAGCACTAAAAACAAGATTTAGTTTTGAATTTACAGTAAATTTCATCAAAATGAGATCCCAGCAAGGTAATTTTCCATAGCCTATGCTGTTAAAGGGGATTTTTTTTTTTTGGACCAAACGGAAAGATCGATTTATGTTTTTGATTAATTAATGCTTAATGATTTTGATTTAATGTTACATACTTACCAAAGCGTTTGTTTGTTTTTGCCAACTTTAATAAAATAAAATGTTTTTGATGTTATATGTGTTATGTGATGTTATAAATGTTATAATTGATATCATTCTTTTTAAAGGAAAGAAATCCATTTGAAACAATGATCATCACTTCAACCCTGTTATTATTTTCAACCCCGTTATGCTGAGTTCAACCCTGTTATTTGATAGTTTTTATTAATATTTTCGTGATAAGAAGACAAATTAGGGTCAATATTTGTTTTGCTGTGTGCAGAATTTACCAGACAGTCAAAAAAAATATGAAAGCCTGATTAAATCCTACTTTTAATACATATTTTGTGATAAGATATGAAGATGTTAGATAAAGATTTCATGAGCTGGTTTGGTATTCAAATGGTGAGTATCTAAAAATAAAGTTTTACATGCAATAAATGATATCAAACAAGCTTCTCATTGAGAAGCATCTAAAATAATTTTCTTGAAAATCGTTTTAAATCATATTTAAACAGGGTCCAAGTGGTCTGTTACGGTGTTGAACTTCAAAACAACTTTCATTAAGAAAAAACACTCAATGTCGATTAGAATTTCATGCCTGAGGTGGGAAAATTCATTTTCTTAAAAGTTTGACTAATCCACTATCACATGCAATGATCAGAAATATAACTATTTGAGGTAAAAAAAAAAGGTAGCTATGACCCAAAAGGCACCCATCTCAGAGAATCACCCAGTAGCCTAAATTTGAAATAATCATGGAAATAACGAACTTGAGCGTGCAAAAGGGTACGATAGGCTGTGAGTTCATTGTGCAAAAACAATTTGTGCTATTACTTTCCCCTTATTCTATCCTATAGGCTAGTAATGCAATTATACTGTAGGCTATATTATATACTGTTGAATACATTTGGTTCAGCTAATAAATTGCATTTAAAATATATTGATTCCTGTAATAATAATTATTTATTCATGTTCTGTGATATTTATAAATCTGGGTGCGTTTTTGGTTGGAAATCAATGAAACATGGTACTGTATTACCTGGTCTCCCCTGTTTATTGTCACAGCTCATACAATAAAGCAAACACCCATGATAAACTATGCTTTTCTATCTAACGTTAGTAATTGCTGACTCTTTACTCCAAAACTGAGCAAACTCTCTGCTCCTCGTCACGGTGCGTCTCAGGTGATGGTTATCACTCTGCCCAAGTTGCAGTGCTTCGCCTTCAGAAAATATAGTATTTATACGGTTAAAAAATGTCTGTGTCTCATATGGCCTTGATATTTGTACACTCTGTGACTATACAAACCACAACATGTAAATAGGAAAACGTTTGCGTTATTTTGTCACTCATTTGGATTAGTATGAAAGCTGCAACCATTCACATCCAGTCTTTGTGCTAAGCTAGGCTAGCGGTGGGTGCATCAAACAGACTTATAGCACGCACGGAGATGAAAAAGGTATGTATGGACTTATCTAACTCTGGGGGGTAAGGTGAATAGGCTAAAGTCCCAAAAAGTCGGAGTGTTCCTTTAAGCTGTTAATTTATCAATTGCATGGGTGGGCCTTGTCCTTATCAATCATCCAAATATTTGCCCCCCCCCCCCCCCCCCGTACAAACCTGTATTAATTCAGTTCTTGTGCTGAACACAAAAGAAGATTTTTTTTAATGTGGGTAACCAAACAGTTGCTGGTCCCCATTAACTTCCAGGAAAGAGAGAAAAAAAACAAAACAAAAAAAACTATACACTGGGGACCAGCAACTGTTCGGTTTCTCACATTATTCAAAATAACTTTTATTTTCAACAGAAGAAAGAAACTTATTCGGGTTTAAAACATCTTGAGAGAGTAAATTAAGAAAATTTTAATTTTTGAGGGAACTATCCCTTTTGTTACGCAGCAGGAGGAAAGGAGGAACAGGATCCAAAAGCAAATACAATTTAATTTAACAGAACAGGTAATCCAAAACAAACAGGTAATTCTCAGGAACTCAAGACAGGGACAAGGCTACAAGCAGCATAACATGTACAACAACTCACAAAGACTGGATTGAAACACAGGGCTTAAATACAATGACAAACGATCTAAATGGGATAACGAGGGGGCGTGATTAATGGGAAACACCTGTGAAGACTAATAGACAGACAGGGAACCATTAAACATGATAAGACAAAACCACACCGTGACATAGCCCCCCCCCCCCCCCCCCCCCCCCCCATATGGGTGGCTCCTGACGCCCATACAAACAGTAAAAAGTTCAGGAGGGCGGTCTTGGGGGAGGGATGGAGGGCCAGGCCCGTGCAGGGGAAGGGGACCAGGAGGTAGCCAAGGCTGGCCTGGGCCGCAGAGTGTGGACAGAGCAGGACGAGGCGAGGTCCAGGGTGGAGCAGGACGAGGCGAGGTCCAGGGCGGAGCAGGACGAGGCGATGTCCAGGGCGGAGCTGTTGGAACCTCGGGCGTCCAGGGTGGAGCAGACTGTGGGCGTGGCCAGCGCAGAGCAGGCTGTGGATGTGGCCAGGGCGGAGCTGTGGGACCCTCGGGCGTCCAGGGCGGAGCTGTGGACCTCGGGCGTCCAGGGCGGAGCTGTGGGACCCTCGGGCGTCCAGGGCGGAGCTGTCGGACCCTCGGGCGTCCAGGGCGGTGAGGATCCCTCGGGCGGCCACGGCGGTGAGGATCCCTCGGATGACATCCACGGCGGTGAGGATCCCTCGGATGACATCCACGGCGGTGAAGACCCCTCGGGTGGCGGTATAGACCCTTCGGGCGGCCGTGGCTGGGACATTGGGCCCCCCCCCCAAAAAAATATTTGAGGTGAATCCCCGGATTAGAGCCAGACGGGGCACGAACAGTCTCTAGTGGGGCTGTCTCAGTGGAACCGACGTGGAGCTCAGGCTCGGCGGGGCTGACGTGAGTCGTCAAAGGCTCGGCGGGGCTGACGGTGAGCGCAGGCTCGGCAGGGCTGACGGTGAGCGCAGGCTCGGCGGGTACTGTGGGGTTGCCGGACTCCTTGTCTGCCAAACCCACAGTAAGGATTGAGCCGTTCAGTAACAGGGCCAAATCAATATAAAATTCTAAAGTCCATTGAGGATTGTGCAGTGGCACGGTTGACTCGAGTGGCTGAGATAGTCCCCCTCTAAAAATATCATAAAACACACGGAATCCATTGAAGTGACATTTGCCAGTTCAATTAAATCTCTCACGTATTCCTCAATGTGATGGTCTCCCTGACGGAGATGCATGATCTGTACTGCTGGATCCATCCTTGGTGAGTTGTTCTGTTACGCAGCAGGAGGAAAGGAGGAAGCAGGATCCAAAAGCAAGTACAATTCATTTAACAAAACAGGTAATCCAAAACAAACGGGTAATTCTCAGGAACTCAAGACAGGGACAAGGCTACAAGCAGCATAACATATACAACAACTCACAAAGACTGGACTGAAACACAGGGCTTAAATGGGCCTTTATCACAGAGCTCGTGTCGTCACTTCCAATGGCGGATAGTAGCGTAAAGCTACTTCTGGTTTAGTCTGTAGCTATGGCGGCAAGAAGGTTTTCAACATCACTACGGGATCTCCCCCATATCACCGACGTTTACGCGATTGTGGAAAATCATTCACAAACGAAAATATCCAAACTTGAGAAGGGATATAAATTCTTCTTCGAACACTACATCTTCAATTATGAAGGTAAGTTTAATTTGAACGTTTCTTTATTCTCGAAGTAGCTAACATGCTAACCTAACTTAATGTTAGCTGGCTAAACCATTAAGTGTCTGTGATTAAATCCATAATGTATTAAATTTACAAATACGAAATGATAAAACAATTAAAAAATGATTTTTATTGTGATGTGTTATGGTATTGTGATTATAATGCTGGTTTTGTGCAATAGTATCTGATGTTGTAGATAGTGAGGTGATTATCAGGGCACAGTGTTACCGGTCCATGAAGAAGAACGAAGTGCCACACTCTCTTCAGGTTACCTATTCAGGATGAACTATAGTTAGGTCCAGTTCGAGGACACAATTTTGTTTGTGTTTACAGTTGCTACGGTTGTAGCGTGTTAGACTGCGGTTGCAGTTTGTTTGAAAATGTGTTCAAATGAAAAATAGACTGCTGTTGCAGTCAATTTATGTTAATATTTCATTTGTATTATAATTTTAAACCCTATATAATATTTTATTTATTTAGATTTCATTTAAAGTCGACAAGAATCCTCCTGTCATCAGTACGTTCTGCTGTTCCTGTGTGGCTGGGAAAGAGCTATGCAACCATTTGGTTGGCTTGCTGTTTCAGAGTGCACACTACTGCATGATGAAACTTAAGATTGTACCACCCACTATACCCAGCACAAGCACTCTACAGACTTGGCACAGGCCCAGGACTCGGGTAAACAACTATTAACTATTTAATGCATGAATTATGACAACCTCATACAGTATTTTTGTCCTATGTGTTTTCAATGCTCCAAGGACATTAAGAAAACTGTTTTGACTTTCTGATATCCCATACGGAAATGTAATATATGACATATGTGTCCCTATATCGCAAGTGACGCTGTCATATATGCTAAATATAGGACAATATATTGGTATGACATATATACATATCTCAGATATATGTTGATATAGGTTTATAACATATATAAATTGTCCATATTAAATGAGTATATTGACATATATTAATACAACATACATGATTATTCTTTATATAATTTTGTATGTTATAACCATATATTTCACTGATATGTTAAATTTATATATGCCAAAATATATTTAAAAAACATACATATATTTCACATGCTTATGGTTTCCTTTTTATTTTATTTCTTTTACTTATTTGAACATCTTGAACTTTTAAACAAGTCTACACAATCCACATTTATTTTCAATTTCTATCCCATTTTAGAATTAGCAACTTTTTTTTATTTTAATTTTACCTTATGTTAACTGGCTCATAAAATAAAACAAATACTAAAAAAAATTTGCAATATATATTTGCATTATATTTGCAAAATTTACTTTTTTTCATACAATCAACCATATATCAATACAGTCAATTTCTATATGTAAGAAAATATATACTTTAATACATGCACTACATGATACAGAATAATACACAGTTAATGTCTCCAACAAAGCATGATAGAGCTGCAAAAACTGATGTCACTGATGAAAAAAATTAAAATGTTCCTTCATAATTATTTAGAAAAGTCACCAGCATACATTGAAGCAATTCATTGAAGAAACCTTTTATACTGACAGCAATGTTTATAACCTTTTATGTCATTTGGTCTGGAAAAAAAAATTAATAGTTAGTTCTTATTACTATTCTTTGCTGACTGTGAGCAAATGACTTGCATTCCCGCTTTAAAACGAGTATACTTTTCAAATAAAAGTTGCATTCATGTGGTCCCTATAAGCAAACAAAGTCATGTCATAAATTATAGGAAACCTGTAGGAAACCCAGCAACGGCGATTATTAGCTTCTCTTCCATTTTTTACTAATGTTTTGGTAGGAAGTAGGAACAAAAATTTACTTTGTATGTTTCTCCGGAATCAGCCAGCGCGAAGGACGTCTATATTCCGATTGGTTACTGGCGTTACGTCATTGCCTAGGCGCGCCAAAATTCAAACGTTATCAAAAAGACTTCATTCAAAGACCAACGCATTCAAAGACCAACGGATGAAGAATGTTCGCCTTGTCAAGTGGAAAGAAGAAGCTGATAATTAAAGTTGGAGCACTGTTCCATCCAACATCACACATAAAAAACTTCAATATGAATGATTTATGACGGACTTGATGAGATCTGTAGGCTTTTAATTGAGTGGAGAGGTGGACTGAAGAAAAACTAAAGGCGGATGGCCGTACGAATCAACTGTGTTGCAGCCTTGTTGCAGGTAAGTTAATTTCTGAACTTTTATTATAATTCAAACATTGATATTGCACATTAATTAAAATAATCGCTGAACTGCATGAGCTATTTAAAATCTACTGATGATATCGAAGCTAGTACAGATCGGATAATTGAGCAGATATTCAGTTAAGGTTTTTTATTTTTTATTTTATGTATTTTTTTACGCTAATATTATCGTTAACTGCTTTTGTCACGGTGTGGCTCTGGCAGAGGGACGAGGAGACCGGAGTATCGGGGAGAACAAGGTTTTAATATATATAAACAGGCAGGAAGACAGGAATACGGGCACCACACGGGATCACAATAGACATCGACCGACAAACTCTGAATGAAACTGAACTGAACTAAATACACAGAGGAATTACGCTAAGTGGGGTGAACACAGGTGAAAATGATAATGACAGGACGAGGAACAGGTGGCTGATTGAAGAGTGAGTCCGGGAGAAGAAACAAAAGGATCCGGGGAAGTGTAGTGCAGATGACGGGACAAACTGGTGAAGATGACAGACTGTGACATCACTCCCCCCTCCCAGTAGGCGTGGCCTCACGCCGTAACATCAATGGGGAGGGGGGGTGGGCACCCTGGAGGCTGTGGAGGGCGTGGTCAGGAGGAGGAAGCCCCCCCCCAGGGCGGAGCAGGATGAGGGCGTGGCCAGGGCGGAGCAGGCTGAGGGCGAGGCCAGGGTGGAGCAGCCTGAGGGCGTGGCCAGGGCGGAGCAGGCTGAGGGCGAGACCAGGGCGGAGCAGGCTGAGGGCGAGACCAGGGCGGAGCAGGCTGAGGGCGAGACCAGGGCGGAGCAGATGGAGGGAGGACCCCTGGTGGAGCCGATGGAAGCGGGGCTGACAACACCAGGGGGCCGACTGACAGGGGCGGAGCAGATGGGAGAGGAGACCAGGGTGAAGCCGGGGGACTGACGACATGAGGTGCTGATGAGGAACCGTGGGAACATGGGGACCCCGCAGGCTCCGGTGACTGAAGTGATGACAGGGGTACAGAGGGACACGGTGAGGCCAGAGGGAGTGAGGGCTGATGGGTGACCGGAGGGAGTGAAGAATCCAACTGAACTGGGGGGGTGAAATGACGGGGCAAAGCAAACAAATGAAAGTCCAGAGGTGAAGGACGGGTGATGAGGGACCGAAAGGAATCCAGAGGGATGAGGGAGCCTGGTCGAGCTGGTGGACTGAGGGACCACGGAGGAGCTGAGGGAGGTAGAAGCCACGGGGGAGCCGATGGGACAGGGGGCCGAGGAAGGGTCCAGATGGAGGAGGTGTGAGGCGAAGGCCGGGGATCCACTAACCCTGCTGGGTCTGGAGGGCTATTAGACAGGAGGGCTGATGGGTGCATAATGGGAGGAGGCGGGAGAGGGAGGCTGAGTGGGATCCTGGTCTCGGGCTGGACGGTCTCTGGCTGGACGGTCTCTGGTGCGGGCTGGACGGGGCTGGACGGAACCAGCGAAGAGGAGGGCTTGGGCTCGGCGGGGCTGGATGGAACCAGCGGAGAAGAGAGCTCGGGCTCGGCGAGGCTGGACGGAACCAGCGGAGAGGAGCATTCAGTCTCTGGAGGGCTGGACGGAACCAGCAGTGAAGAAAGTTCAGTCTCTGGAGGGCTGGACGGAACCAGCAGTGAAGAAAGTTCAGGCTCAGGAGGGCTGACGGTGAGCGCGGGCTCGGCAGGGCTGACGGTGAGCGCAGGCTTCCTGGGGACGAGAATTAAACGGGGCCGCCGAATCGGGTGGAGAATCCCCTGAAAGGCCACTGCGTTCATGTTGATTTGGTCGGTCGATCTGTCACGGTGTGGCTCTGGCAGAGGGACGAGGAGACCGGAGTATCGGGGAGAATACTATGGGGTCCCCAACTGGCGGACCGGGGTCCAGGTCCGGACCCCAATACCTTTTTATCCGGACCTCTAAACATTTTTATTAAAAAGTTTTAGAAAAAAAAATAAAATGAATTTTTACCAAAAGTATTTTTTGAACAGGCGTGCGCGCGGGCAGCTATGTCTGTGTCAGGTCCTTTGCAAGAGCCGGGGTCTGGAGAGATCACAAACTTTGGCTTGTACACACATTACTATGATATTCGTGAATTGATTATTATGGCTTTGTCAAAAATGAGAAAAGTGGACTCTGAAAACCGCATCTTTCGAGATGAGTGGATTGAAGTGTACGCGTTCATTTTTGCCGTCATCGAGCTCTACGAGGCCCATGTGTCTTATTTGTTCGGAGTTTGTTGCTGTTGTTATAAGTGGAAACATCAAGCGGCATTTCGAAACAAGACACACAACTTTCAATGAAAATTATCCGCCAATAAAAATTATGCTTCCTGTTGCTGTTATTGATGTTGAAAGGTTTGACATTTGAATATTTGCACTAAAATGAAATAATACTTGAATGAATTTCAACAAAATCAGTTGAATACATTTAAAGGTAAAGATTTTATTGTCAAAGATTTTGTCAATTTGTTGACATGGTTACAATTTAATAAAATGAAAGAACTTATTTTGCCAGGTGTTTTTGCATGTCCGGACCCTCGTTTACTGGGCTCATTGGGTTAGTGGACCTCTTGCCAATTTAGTTGGGGACCCCTGCTATATATATATATATATATATATATATATATATATTAATATATATAAACAGGCAGGAAGACAGGAATACGGGCACCACACCGGATCACAATAAACACAATAGACATCGACCGACAAACTCTGAATGAAACTGAACTGAACTAAATACACAGAGGAATTACGCTAAGTGGGGTGAACACAGGTGAAAATGATAATGACAGGACGAGGAACAGGTGGCTGATTGGGGAGTGAGTCCGGGAGAAGAAACAAAAGGATCCGGGGAAGTGTAGTGCAGATGATGGGACAAACTGGTGAAGACGACAGACTGTGACAGCTTTATTGTGTGCGTTGCATTTTCATGTTCTCATTTTCGTGGTCATGTTTACAAGCTGTAGGCCCAGATTAACGTTCAATTTACACCGTGGTGCATCATTCTAAGATATTTAAATGTTTTTAATGTGAGAATAATATATTTTAAAAAAGTAACGTTAAGGTTTCAGCTGTCAAACACATCATGTAAGTTAGTGGAGGAAAAAAATACAATATATGCCTTTAGAGTCTAGAACTACTAACGTTAATACAATTATACTAAAGTAAAAATATCTCAAATGTATGTCAATGTAAACTTGCATGATATTAAATTCCTGTCAGTATGTGTGCTAATATTTTGAACACTGTCCCCCATTATGACATCAATAATTTTGTGGGTGCATAAACGTTTACATTTGGTCAGCCTATGTTGTTGTCATTATCATAGCCCTATTTGTATCTTTTGTTTTAGATTCTGCATTTTCTATTCCCCCTTTTTCTGCACAGAGAGACAGTCCACCCTAGGAAAACAAATGAGGACACAACATCAGTCCAGGCCAAAACTTCTGTTCTGAGCAAAAGAAAATGCAGGCTAAACCCTAGGCTTGTTGAAGAGGAGACCAGTACGGATCATCTAGACACAAAAGGTCATAAGATTATTTTTTTTACTGGAACCTAAAACTAGCATCTGCATTTCAAATGTAAAAAATAACTGGCTGCCCACTATAAAGTTGTTGCTTCAGGATAAAATAAAACAAAATCATTATTACATATTAATTAAACAAATTCTTAACTACATTTAGAAATTAAATGCTTTAAAAACTTTCCATAGATCTTGACAGTCATTTTTCACAGCCAAGTCCAGTACATGCAGTCTGTCAGGTGTTTATGTTGCTTTGCCTGTTTCTACTTATATACAAGTCTATATCTGTTTATTTGTTTTAATGCCATCAACTAATCCACTCTGCTAGGCCAGCTGATCTTCATTTTCTGCTAAAGAAATTGAAAATACTGATTATCAAATTTTTTTGTGTGTTTTGCTTACTAGAAATGCCAAAACTCCTTAGTACAATGGGCAAGCTGGGAAAATGTCATGAAGCGAAGGAACAGAGCTCACAGGAACAACTGGCATCACCTTCCAGCCTACAGGAAACTGAGTATGCTGTTTTTCCAAACTACCGTAGTACAGCAAGTTACAACAGTAAAGACTTATTAAAAACAAATTCAATAATTCCAATAAAACAATTTGTCTTTTTTACAGATGCAGTGATCCAGAAATTTCCTGGAACCACGAGGGGCCAACTATTATTCAAAGTCACTGAGCTGTGGACATCCAAAAATCTCAACAAACTTAAACAATGAACTGGTGGTTTCAAATACCTGTTGGTGGATTTTGCTTTTCTGGGTTTGTTTTATGTTTTGTTGTAATATTGTATTTGTATATAATAGTGATGGGAAATCTGTTTATTTTCCGCAAATCTGTTCTTTCAGACAGTTTGTTTCAATGAAAAAAAAAAAAAAAACGTTTCACCAGTTCTTTTACGTCCTCTCAAGTAATGATGTCAATTTTATCATCCTGGCCGACAAAAATACTTTCAGACAAAGGCATTAATTAGCCTAGAAATCAAAATCTAGTCAGGCCAATCACGTAGTGTATAGAGTCAGTGGGTGCGCTTAATGATGGCAGAGTTGTAATGGTTCTGCCTCCGTGTTCGGTTCAGAGACGGTGCTATCATGCATGCTCAGTATCTCCAACTCATCAGTTCTCTGTATCGAACGTGTCCAAAACTAAAAGTTCTCGGTTCTGTCCTGGTGATCTCAGAACGGCTGTAGCAGTACGTGCGGCGTGCGCTGATATGAGAACTGCTGAAACCTGAATATAGCCTATAGTCGACAAAACTAAAAAGTCGATGCATGTCTCCAGTTTGTTTAATACGTTATGTTTTGATTAGCACATTATAAATATTTATTTTGCACTTTTAAAATCTTGGCTAGAGTTTACGTCAAATATCAACTTAGAAATTAAATGAGCTGTTCCTGAAAATAATGTTTTAGTATAATAATAGTTTAGCTTTAAAATCTATTCGTTTCCAATCTTTAAAATAATACAGTGAAAAGGCAGTAATTAAGTGATAAAGATGTTTACAATATGTTTTATTTTGTTACACTTATTGGTGTTCAAATAAATACTTAAGAAACATGCATTTCCTCCCACTGAAAAAAATTGTACGCATGCCCAGCTCATCGGTTCTCAGTATGTCGAAACGTGTCCGAAAGTAACAGTTCTCGGTTCTGTACTGTTGATTGAGAACGGCTGTACCTGTGCGTTCGGTAGTATGTGTATGCTCAGTATCAGCTGCTCGTGCTCATCACTTCTCTCAGCACATGTCTCAGTTCAGTGAACTGTTGGAGTTACTGGAGTAACATATACTCCAGGATATTGCTTTATTTCAAGTCAGATGTGTCTGAAAGTGAGTAATTGTGTTTCGCTCGATTCAGTCCGATTTGGTGTACCGGTTCACTAAAAACAACCAGTTCAAAATAACGATTCGTTCCAGAACCGGACATCACTAGTATATATAATAAAGTTGTGTGTACAGTAGTTTTCAAATTTTGCTCAGCTTAACAATTTTTCTTTTTAAATTAAAACTGTTTTAATAAAGTTTTAATGTTTTAACTGTTTTACTGTATTACTTCTTTTTTGCTAACTGCACCGTTTGACATTTAAGGTTTAGGCATGTCATGTGCATTGGATTGCACGTGTGTATGTAAGTCAATATAAGACAATGTAAGACAATATAAAAACGTATTAGGGACATATATGTGTCACATGTATGTAAGCAATATACTATGCATATATGTGTACTTTGTAGATTGAACATATATACAAAATTGTATATGTCATGTATATTGATAATTATATATGTGACATATATGTATATAAAATACTTTTATACATATATAAAATATATGGGCTAGTTTTATATGTCAATATATGAAATTGTTCCATTTTCGAATAAGTTTTATATATGGGCAGATATATATGTATGTTTTCACTGTCTATGTACATATATTTAATATATGCGTATTTCATACATGTTCATATATTACATTTCCGTATGGGTAGCAGAAACATAATTTGCAGAATTTTTTACAGGGAATCCATCCTGAAGCAGTGGATCGATTACTTGTGAGGAAGCCAAAAACCTCTAGCAGAAGTGGTATTAAGTCCACTCTTTACAGGGCCTACACAGGTGATTACATATATTTGATGTCTAGCAAAATATGTACAAATTAAAGTGCTTTTAAAAGTATTATTTCTTTTCTTTTTTCTTTTTTTGTTGTTGCTTTTTTAGGTCCTATTCCCAATAATTCGGTGCTCTGTTCTGTGGAGTCTTTAAAAAGTCTCAGGCCTCAGCCACTTATCTGCAAGGTTCTGCATGGCTTGTCAGAGATGAATCTTGTGGAGTCTAAGTTTGGCCTGGTACCCAAAGGTTCTTTGCTGTCCTATCAGTGCCCTGCTCAGTCATCAAGGGAGGCTGTCAAACATGCAGAAGCCCCTCCTTTCCCTAAGCTTCCTCTGGATGGGTACAAATTTGAAGGAAGATTTCAATTTGTCCCAGATTTCCATGATATGTTGTTCGAGCCCGTTCTCATCCTTTAACGTCATATAGAACGCTATATGCAAAAACGGCGCTATACTACGCATATGGCACCCTTTATCGTTAATATAACACGCGAACCCAAGACGTTATAAATCCTTTAGCGTGAATGTGACACGCACACCCTACCCCACACCTAAACTTAGCCCTCACAGCGCGTGTTATATTAACGATAACGTGTGCCATGCGCGTAGTATAGCGCCGTTTTGTCATATAGCGTTCTATATGACGTTAAAGGATGAGAACGCGTTGGTTGTTCTTAGAAAGCTTAGCAGTCACTCAAGAATTAAGCACAATAATTGAACAAGACACACGGGATCAGTCACAGTCTGCTCTATGGAACCAAACGCATACACCACGCATTTGTAGCGGATCCACAGGGTCAGCCCAAATGAAGAAAAACACCAACAACGTGTTTTCGCTTTTGCGTGTTTACTGCAAGCATAAAATGGGACAGTGTTACAATCATCTGCTGTTCTGGATTGACAATCTCTCTCCAGAGTGCTTCCCGCAAACTCTGCACTAAATGCATATTTTTTATAGAACTAATAAGATTTATGAATTCTGAAAATTAATAAAACAAAAGAATACAACTCATACCTGCAAGCATAAAATGGGACAGTGTTACAATCATCTGCTGTTCTGGATTGACAATCTGCAAATACATCATTCAGTTAGTACATTGTCCCATATATCTAATATGCAGGCAACTTACAATATCAAAGAAACAATTCACAGTTTCAGCTGCTTATGGCTCTATGCACGGCGGTATTTCCGGTGAGGCATTAGGGATGCTCGATAACTTCCGCCGATCATAGAGTCCAATGTAATAGCGAGAATTTATATTGAATTTTATACTCCATGGTTATACTAATGAAACGTTAGTCACAAAAACAGATAAAACAGACACCCCTCGTTGTGTTTATGCTTCTTTTTAAAATTATATCAAATAAACATAACTGTATATAAAATTACATCTAAACGTATGTACGTTTCGTTTCAAAGACGGGAGGACAGTAAATATTGAAGACTCTGCCATAATCCCGTTTTCTCCGGTTTTCCTCCGCTTTAATCTACACAACCGGAAATAGACGAGCATCCTTGCGTCAAATGCGGAACTTATGCGTGCATATAGCCCATTAACACACATAACATGTTTTAAATCGTGAACTACATTACCCAGAATGCACTGTTGATTACTGGCGCGCATTTCACTCGGTGCAGCACGGATTAACCACTCATGTCATCAAAATGAAATTAAGTGAAATGGGCGAGGCTAGCCCCTTTTTAGGGGTGCTTCAGCACCCCTAAAAAGGAGCTCAGCACCCCTAAAACTTGGAGCAAGAAATGTTGTTATTCTAAAAATTTTGTTCGTCTTTGACACGGTTAAATAATGTCCAAAACATACTCAGTAGTTTGTAGTTTAAAATGAAATGAAAATGAAAACATTTATCTTCTTCTAACGTTACTTCTTTGTACCTGCACCGCTCAGCACGGCCGTCATCCAGCGCGAAACACACGCAGAGTTATGAGAATCCGGGCCGTTAGGTAACGTTAGTTCTGTGAATCAAGTTGAGACGCTCCAGAGCTGTGTCTCACACTTTTTTCCTTTCAGTTGTTCCGATTCCGAAACCATATCGGTGAGTACTGGAGTCAGTATCCTGAATCACCATGGTACACCTACTCAATAAGAGTTTATTTTCGGACTGTTTTAGTCTAGCGGGTCGCCGCCGCTGTGGAGTAACGTTGACATTAGCGGAGTGGCAATCGGGAGAGTCGAGAGTTTTCCCGGTGAGCCGGTGGTGTTTCGAGGCCGCGAGGGCCGGTCTGAAAAAATGTATACATTGCAAGTTCGCCATGCGCCCAAGCGAGGAGAAGAATTTTTTTTTTTTTTTTTTTTTGCATTTTCGATAACGGAGCGTATATTTGCAGTAAGTGCCTGTCTTTCTAGTAAATAGATGCACGTCACGGAGTATTACAGTGGCGTAGGTCGTAGGGCGTGAGTGAAGTGCTTTAATGCGCTCGACCTGAGTTCGAATCTGCCTTTTGCCGAACTCTCTCTCCCTTTTCCCAACACATATGAGATGTAAAATGTATAACCTAACATAAAGGGCTCTAGTGTTATATTTTGCCAACAAACTAAAATCGAATCCATGATATGGCTTTTTGCCTATATAAAACAGAGTATACAGACTTTAAGAATAGGCATCCAATTTTGCTGGGTGTGCACTTGTGCAAAAGTGTACACTTTGCTCACGCGATCAGCATATTTATATCTGGTATTTTCTCCTAAATAAAAGCTTGAGGGTTTATTTCTTGCAAGTGTAGAAATGTGACAAAAGTAGTTTAATTTTCCTATAGTGTAATGTTGACTAAAATATACTTTTGAAATATTCATTTTCACTTATATAGTACATTTATAGGCCATATGGATTTTACATCATAGGAATAATTATATAAATCATTATTACATTTTTATAATAATTGTTTGGGATAATAATTGGGATCCTAAAACTCCATTGATAATGTAATGTAGATTGAGACTCAACTAAAAAGATGTTTGAGCCCTATTTATTGTCCTGGTACAAATCAATGCGTTTTCTTTGTTCAACGAGCAGTTCATGGGTTGAAGTTCTTAATTTTGATCTCTCAAAGAGCACGAGATTGATGCATTTAACCTTAATATTTACAAAATTTTCTAGCGGGGGAGCATGCCCCCGAACCCCCCTAGAGGAACAGAGTCCACCCAACATAGTTTTACAAATTTGTTAATATCTTTAAGGTTGCCTTTTTTTCCTGCTGGCTGGGGAACTACCGATGAAAAGCTCTTTTAGCTAACTCGGGTACATTTTCATTGTTCTGATGTTGATTAATGTGTACATTAATGTGTACACTGTCCCCCCTTACAAATAAATAAAATGAAGAGAGAGGGGGAGCGTATATGGGTGTAAAATGTGGGTGGTGGCAGTGGGGCTCATTGGGTGCTCAGCACCCCTAAAGCTCGGACCCTAGAATCGCCCCTGAGTGAAACCCAGATCAACATTAACAAGCATCCTCATACCCATGAAAACCACATTAACTGATACTTAAAGTGTTATACCGTTCATAGAAATATGACACAATCGCACGTTTAAAGCAATAAAGTTTATGTACTATATTAAACATGGAGAACCACCTATTCAACAAACAACAGGGTCACCAACAGTATTACCACCATATTTCGTTCTGATTTCGTAATAACTTCAATTTAATATGCTCTAAAACCTTGTTTGAATTGTCCAGTAACGGAGACACATACCTCTCTCCAGAGTGCTTCCCGCAAAAACTGAAGAGTGCAACTCGCGAGGAATATACCATTAATTAAAGAAAGGGGGTTCATACCAAATCGGTAACACTAAAGGACACAACACATCTTTCCAATCAACCTCATGCAGTACAGGGCAGTAGTGCAATTATAATGTTTGATAACCACAAAGACTAAATGCTGGTTGCCGTATGTTACTGGTGTTGATTTAACATTCCAACTTCCCCCACCTTAATGAAATGTGGATCATTCCTTGCTTGATCTCTCTCTGCATCTGATTGAAAAGCAACTAACCTATTTAACAAAGTTTGATGAATTATATATTTTTTCACACCATTACACATTACATCGAGTAGATTCTGTGAGGTATGTCATGTCAGAGGAGAGTCGACCAGCCAGGCACTAGCTGCCCGAATCATCAAAGGGGTTCGTCAGACTTCTGCAATGAAGCGTGGACTGGATCTTGAGCCTGAAGTTCTATTTCAGTACTCTGGTATGATGAATGTGAATGTTTTACATTGTGGGTTTGTTGTACATCCTGATGCGCCACACCTTGGCACAAGCCCTGATGGCCGAGTCTATGACCCTACTGAGAACCCTCTCTTTGGACTTGCAGAGGTAAAATGCCCTGATGTTGATGACATTTCTCAGGTGACACACATCACATTTGTCAACGGTCAAGCAAAGCTAAAGGAAAGCCACAAATACTACTGGCAAGTTCAGGGACAGCTTGCAGTAACAGGACTGAGTTGGTGTGATTTTATAACAAATACCAAAACAGATATAACCATTCAGCGCATCTGGAGAGATGAGAGTTTAATTGGCTTGATGAGGGACAAAGTAGACATTTTTTTCTTTAATACATACATAAATGCGTTTTCTAACTCTAGGAGTTGTTAAACTAATACTGGTGTTTATTGTTTGTTTGTTTGTTTTTTGTTAAAGGAATAGGTCACTCAAAAATGAAATGTATGCGCAATTTACTCACCCTTGCGCCCTCCTAGATGTACATAATGCACTTTCTCTCCTTCTCTCATATACGCGCGTGTGTGTATATATATATATATATATACATCATTTGTTGCATAAATATAATTTTTGGGTAAACTATTCATGTAACAGAAAACAAAATCAACATCAGCTGATGTTGATTTTGTTTTCTGTTACATGAATAGTTTACCCAAAAATTATATTTATGCAATAACTGATGGCATACTTTCCATTTTTGCGTAAACAACTCTTAAAGATTCTTCAAATGTCTATTTCTGTTTAGCATATATTTTTACCTATTAATAAGTTCACTGTAAAATTTCAATGAATAAATGAGAAATTGTAACTTAACTTTTTTATGGTCACAATGCAGCCAATACTTGTAAATAAAAATGCAATCAATACTTGTTGTAGATATCAATGTAATCAATACTTGTACATATTTATAATAATGTGGTGCAATAAAAAAATCTAATTTTTAAGTTTGCAACTTTTTGGCTCATTTACTGAAAAAAATGTTGCAACATTAAATGCCAGTTTTTACAATTCAATATTTTTGTACAAATTAAACACTAAACTTACAGTTATGAAATAAAAGACATTTAATGGTTTCAACTTAAATCATGTTTCTTTTCTGTATATACATTTTATACAACATCATCATTTACATCAAGTGGGCTAAATGTCACAATGTAGTCAATACTTGTACATATGTATAAGTGGTGGAATAATTTTTTTTTCTAATTTTCAAGTTAGCAACTTTTTGGCTCTTTTACTAAAAAAATGTTGCAACATTAAATAAAAGTTTTCAGAATTCATTTTTTTTTTCTGCACAAATTAAACACTAAACTTAAAGTTATGAAAAACCAGACATTTGATGTCAACTTAAATCATGTTTCTTTTCTGTATATACATTTTATACAACAGCATCATTTACATCAAGTGGGCCTTGGAAATTAGCCATTACACAGCAGTTTGCCCACATTTGGTTCACTGTGCCTGTCAGTGTGAGCGGAATGGTTGAGTACCAGATGTGGTTTTCTTTAATTCGTCGAATGACTCTTTCCACCGCAATCCTTAGACTGGCTATTGATTGTGTACGTTTCGTCTCATCTTTTGTAAATTGGGCTGCTCTTTTGAATGGAGGGATAACAAGTCTGGCTCCCACAATTTCAAGCAGTGGCTCTATGGTAAAACCTTTATCTGCCAAACAACAGTCTCCAGGCTCGAGCAGTTCTAAAAGTCCTGACTGTTTTGTTATCTCCCTGTCTGAGATAAATCCAGTGAACAGCTGTGACACAAAGGTTATTGCCCCATATGGAGCAACACCAACCAAGCCTTTGAAGGTAGGGTAGTTTTTGTAATGTGAAGACATCTCTGTAGTGTAAGAGCTGTGGGATTTTCACATCTGATCTCAGTGCAGTCCAAAATAACACGGACATCTGGGCAGTACTCCTTAAATTTTGCTGGCATGGTTGCTCTGACTTGCTCTTTGGTCATCCAAATAGGCAAAGACCCCAAAACAAGGTACAGAAAATTTGCTCAAGTTATGATTACTCGACTGACCGTTGTCGTCCTCACATTAAATATATCTGCCAAGACCTTTTCTCGTAGACCTGCAGACACGCGACAGCAATAAAGAAAAAACTCATCAATAAGCTGAAGCTTTCTGCTTGGTCCTAGAACAGTCTCTAGACCATGTCTCTGTGCCTTAGACCAATACACAAGGTTTGATGCTGATGGTTCTATTGATGCCCAGAAAATCCAGAAAGTCTTCTCTGAGCGCGTGTAAAATCGGAAGTCGTCATCCGAGAGACAAAATCTGTTTATTTGAATGCGGGAGACTCTCTAATTCTCTCTGCAGCAGCATCCAAAAGACCTGGACACGGAGGAGTTGAGTAGTCATGGTCTGTGGGTGCGTCGGGACCATAAGAGACTACAGGCTGTTCGTCACTGATCTCTGGTTCACTGCAATGTTGGCGCTTTAACGTTACCTTATCCAGCACACTGGATCGTTTCTGGAGAACACTCCCCCAGTTGTTCCATTCGAACCTGGACGGTATAACTCCACGTTTCAAGCGTTTATGATCGGCTGTTGACGAGTAGTCAGATTCTGTGAAGTGTTTCCCGCATACGTACGTACTCCCTTTTAAAACTGCAAAACTTTTGCCTTCATCCCGCCGAATAGCATGAATCCACAATTTCTTCGCTTTTTCGTCGGTTGGAAAAGAATGGAAACTGAGATACGGCTGTCTAGTAGAACTATTAGAACATTTAGGAACGCAACAGCAATTCCTCGCTGTGCTCGCCGCCATAGCTACAGACTAAACCGGAAGTAGCTTTATGCTACTATCCGCCATTGGAAGTGACGACACGAGCTCTGTGATAAAGGCCTATACAATGACAAACTATCTAGATGGGATAACGAGGGGGCATGGTTAATGGGAAACACCTGTGAAGACTAATAGACAGACAGGGAACCACTAAACATGATAAGACAAACCCACACCGTGACACCTTTAGTGTTAATAAAACAAAAAACACAAGGAGAAAATCACTCACTGACTGAGAACTTTAATAGTAGCTTTAAAGGGGGGGTTGACTGCGATTTCACTTTTTTCATTTTAAATAGTGTTTTTTTCATTTTAAGTTGTTGCATGAACAGTATCTGCAAAGTTGCAGCGCTGAAAGTTCAGTGTAAGCAGAGATATCGTCTTTTAAAAATACAAAAACGACTCGATTGGGACTACAGCTGGGTTTTAGACTTCACTAACCCACACATTTGCATCAACCCCTCCCTCTGGAATATGCAAAAAAGGGCCTGCACATATTTATGCGGCACGTCGAGTGTGTTATGTCACCCAGCTGTCAGTCTTCTGTGTTCGAGCTTCCCACAGACGCTGTACTTCGTCAACAATGGATACAATTTATGTTTGATTATTCAATTATATTATGTTTGATTATACAATTTATGTTTGATTACTTGAAAATGACGATCGTAATCTAGCTCTCTGTGCTGCGCATTACGGAAGACAGCTTCCAGAATCTCCACGAGTTCAATGCCGGATTTAATAAGAAACTGTTACTAAAACATGAAGCAGTTCCAACATTAAAACCAAAGGCAGCAGTTGTTGGGCCACAACCTGTAAGTAGGCTAAGACTTAATCATTTTAAATGTATTTGCATGTTGTTATGTGGATGCAGGTGATGAACCCAAATGCAGGCAGAGTGTGATGAACACAAGGTTTATTGGTGACAAACAGGAAAACAAAACTCACGAGGGGGCAAAACAGACAAAACAAAGGGAGATCAAGGCGTTCTTCAAAGACAAGGTATTCACGGGTAGATACTCACAAAGTGACACACGCAATGAGAAACAATAAACCAACCCAGGACAGCAAACACAAGGGAATTATAAAGGGAGAAACTAAAGGGGGGGGGGGGGATGATGATCCCACCACAAAACTAGAAAAATCAATGACATGGCAGAATCATGACATATGTATAATTCCAGACGTAGCCTTGTGTTTTATTTTTTTTCAAATGCCAGCACTGGCTTTCCCAGATAGCAAACTGACATTGAATCAACGTGGAAACGACGTCTCTCATGACATTGAAACAACGTTGATTTGCTCATCGAATTAACGTTGAACCAACGTCAGACGCGGCATTCTTCAAAGCTAAATGAAATCGAAAATTTGTTTGCTTTCATAACGTTGAAACAACGCGTTGATTTCAAGTTGATTTTCCGTTAGTTTTGAAAGAATGACGCATCTGACGTTGGTTCAACGTTAATTCGATGAGCAAAACAATGTCAGATCAACGTTGTTTCAATGTCATATTTCCACGTTGATTCAATGTCAGTTTGCTATCTGGGTTATAGCCACTAGGCTACTAGTTATGCTATTTTGTGTCTACGACAAATGCGTACAAACATTATGGACCTGAATTTTGTATAAGTACTAATGTTGTAAATGTATTTTTCATGTATATATGAAGAGTTCAGATGGAAAAGCCTCTAAATGCCATTTGAAATTTTCTTCTTTAATGATGATTTTTATCAAACTTGTATATTTAAGTTCAGTAATTTCACATAAATTACTGAACTTAAATATACAAGTTTGATAAAAATCATCATTAAAGAAGAAAATTTCAAATGGCATTTAGAGGCTTTTGCATCTGAACTCTTCATATGTTTTATGACGTTATTTTTGATTTGATCAAGAATGTAAACTTGCCAACGCTGTTTGAGTATAACATTAGTAGCCAGTCAGTTGCTATTGTTGCCAGTCAGATACTATTGTGTAAAACAAACGTGTATAAAAGTTAAAAAATGTAGCAAATTATCATTCAGAAACTTTTAATAAGAGCCGTGTGGTGAGGTTCTGTTTGACTCTCTTCATCGTGGCTTTCTCGGTCTTATTCTGCCTCAAACTGATACTGCAGTTCGACCTATATTTACATCTGGACCGGAGCTCATGACATGCACGTTTCGCCCGTAAAGGACGTTAACCTTTTCCGGACAACGTAAGCAACAGTTTAGGCAATCACAACACCTGGCCCAAACTAACCAATCTGAGCCCACTGTCTGTTTCTGAGGAAGTGGTTTCATACACTCAGGAAGTCAACCGGTCATTCGAGTACAGATGAGAGAACGGCTGACATTAAAGGTGAAGTTTATGAAAAATAAGACTTTTAAAAACAGAAAAACCACGAATACATGTTATATTGCACCCCATAAACACAATCATACAAAGAAAAAAGCAGTCAACCCCCCCCCTTAATAAGACTCAATAATTTAAACAGTGAAGTCTATGTAGTGTTTTAATTTCATATTTGTTAATTTAATTACTTTCTTCAATGCTACTACTAAATACACCTACTAAATCTGAAAAAATAAAGCACTGTTTATTTAATTTGAATATTAATTTGTGTAATGTTTATCTTGTCTTATTTGTTTAATTACAAAGAAAATAATGACAATGATTTTTATCTTCGCCACTGGCCTAAATGTATGCCTTTCTTTTTTCTTTTGTAACCTACTTTTGTTACCTTATTAGTTTGGCTGTAATAAACAGCCACTTGCAAATAGTAAAACCAACTTGTAAAAGAATTGTGATAAAAAATCGTGATCGTGATTTTCCTAAAAAAAAATGTGATATTTTTGCCATATTGCCCACCCCCTGAAATGAAGTATATCATTATTTACAAACCAGTTATTTAAGAGTTGTCAGTCATTCATAAGATCACTTAGAAAGTGTAAATAAATGTAGTAAAAACAGGTAGTTATAAAGCATTTAGTAGTGGTCAGTTAACTATTTGTGTCAGTTCATCTAAAGTGAGTATTCATGCCTTGTAAAGCATTTATAAAGGAGATTTAAAGGAGATCAATCTTCTAAATAGTAAAATGTAACAAACAACACAGTGACACAGAACATAAATATTTAATAGCCTTTAAATCTCCTGTAATTGTCTCTTATGATTGCAAATCTAACAAATTCTTAATTGCAGTATGTAATCTCATCGTTTGTTCAATTAAATAATTGCATATCACCCCCTAAATAGTTGATCTGCTTAATTATTTATATTTACAATTTATTGGTATATTTACTTTTTACTTTCGGTACTTAAGTACTACTTTTTAAATCGGATACTTTTGTACTTTTACTCAAGTGATGTTTGAATGGAGGACTTTCTACTTTTACTGGAGTAATATTTTATTTAGGTATATATACTTTTACTCGAGTATAACTTTTGAGTACTTTTACCACCCCTGCCCCCACATTAATTAAATATTTTCAAACTGTCCTTCAAAAAACAGAAATTGTCCTCATGAAAAAAGTCGCCTGAAGAGGTTGCTATAGCATCACGTTACACGAGCGCTTGAAGCTATCAAACATGAAAAGCATTACAAAAAAAAAAAAAAACTTTAATGGTTTGTTGAAAAAAAATTATATATATATTTTATTATATATATATATATATATATATATATATATATATATATATATATATATATAAGATAGTGGAGGGTTAAGAGGGTTAACTGGTTAGACGATTAGAGGAGTTAGACGTTAGACGATTAGAGGAGCCAAAACTAAATTTTATCATTAAGAAAAGAATATCAAAGACTGGCCACCGAAAATTACTGACTGTCAGAACTCCTTTAAAGTCTTTGTAGCCTATAACGTTCACGCTAAGGTTAACTGTACCGATTCTAGAAAAAGTGTGTATCCATGAAATGTAAGCATCTAAGCGGAGCGCAGATTTGCGCGCTATTTCTCCACTGGTTCAAGATCATAGCACAGTTGCGCTCTCGACTCCGCGCTGGCATTGCTACCAGCCTCGGTCACTTCTAAACACCGCCTTTCGTGGGAGGCAACATTAGACACCGGGAGAAGTTATATCGTTCGTTTCGCTGAATGAATCCTACAGATTTTTCTTATATTCATCTTATTCTACGGTGTTTTCTTATACGAATGAAATAAAAACTGTGACACAAGGACTGCCGCGACGTTAACAGGTGGCTAAAGGGAATTGACAGCGCTGATTGATCTATTATTGATATCCAAGAAACCCAGAATACCATTTAAAGTCATTGATCTGGAAGGAGGATATCTTTCTCACGGATTTGATGGATGTTTGAAAGGTTGGTGATGCCCATTTATATCATCGACCGCAAATTTCCAGAAACACCTGGTGAGTCTGTTAAGCATGCTGCACATGGCTTACAGAGATGGTGTGCTGACTTAAAATATTCATTAATGCACTGGGTGTGAAATGATAAAAGTTGTTATTCTTTGGTTTTAATTAGTAACAGTTGTCATGCACTTAATATATTAAGTTGCGCACTGCTCTAAAAGTATAGACAGCATACTGAATGTGTCTAAGTCATTTACAGCCTTTAAATAGCATCTCAGATATTTGAAAATGTAGTAAATGTAAAATTAAATGCAT